GCAGAGGGAAGATGGTCTTCCCATAGAAGTCAAGAAGCAGAGAGAAAAGGAGAAACCAGGGCACAAGAAGGTGTCCTTCTAGGTCACATCTCTGGTGACCCACCTCTTTCTTTCAGGCCCTACTTCCCAAGAGCACATTCCACTATGGACTCATCAATGGGTGAATCCCCTGGGGGGTACAGAGACTCCCCAAGATCCAATAACCTTATAGAGAAGTTCTACTCTGAACACACGAGAGTTTGTGGGAGTCATTCGCCATCTAAACCACAGCAAGGGCCCACCATGCAGAGACAAAGGGCAGACTGGCCTGAAGAAGTCTGGCAGGGGTGTGGCATGACCTGTGGGTGGGTTCTCTTCTCGGGGTCTCACAAGGCTGCAAGAAGATGTTGGCTGGGCACAGTCTCATTGGGAGCTCTGAGTCTACTTCCTAGCTCTTGAGGTTATTGACAAAATTCAGTTTCTTGTGTTGTAGCACTGAGGCTCTTAGGTCCTGAAAGCCAACCCTCTGCATAGGTGGTCCACAGATGACATGTCAGCTGCTCCAAGCCAGCAGGAGATGTTTCTGCTTCCTTGAGTTTCTTCCTCCAGAACGGACTGCCTCTTTCTCCCTCTCTGTACTGGGGATCGAACTCAGGACCTTGTGCTTGTGAAGCAGGCTGCGGCACCACTGAGCCAAACCCCACGCCTGGACTGTCTGTCTTTTAAGGATTTCCATACAACTTAGCAACTTGCTCAGGATGACTTCCCTTCTGATGAACTCAAATCAATTGGGCCCAAATCAATTTGGGGCCTTCATTGAGTCTGCAAAGTACCTTCACCAAGTCTGCGGCTCTTCTGCCCTCATCACTGCCCAAGCAACTTCCAACAGGACCACCTACACCTCCTGTCCCGAGTCCCCTCCCCAAATAAGTCAGCCACTCAGGCCCTTTTCTCCCTTCCCTTGTGGGACTAAGTGTCTCAGAATCTTGCTGCCTGGTCAGACTTCACATTGCATCGACTCCAACAGGATCAGGTCGAGTGCCCTCTGCATGGCTTTCTCAGCCTCTGTGCCATGGTGGACCTTGAATCCAGGTTGTCAGAATCCTAATGATTTGTACTGATATTGTCATTTTACCACTCAGCTTGCTTTGTGATCAAGCCATTTCTTAACATTCAGTTGTGTGTGTGTGTGTGTGTGTGTGTGTGTGTGTGTGTGTGTGTGTGTATTTTGTCTGCTTACCGTACACAGAGCCTGGCTCAGTACCTGCACTCAGGAAACATGAACCACATGAAGAGTATGGTCCTGGAAGGACCTATAATGTATCTTTTCCAATGTTAATGAATGAGAGGTTGAAACATTCTTTCTGTCTTCATGCCTTTTCCCAGGATCTAGTCCAGTGCAAGGCAAAAAAATAGAATTCAAATGTCAGATGAGAGTGAAAGGGAAGGCAGGATAGTGTATGGAGACTTAGTAAAGGGGAGAAGGGGGAACCAGTTGGACTGGGCCTGGGGGACAGACTTGGGACAGAGAGCCACCTACCATCAGTGCCCCAGCCTAAGCAGGCCTGGCAGAGGAGCTGAGCCTAAGCAGCACTTTCCTGCTAAGTGCTCTGTGGGGAGGTGCAATGTGTCTCTATTTAAAATTAATTTTTCAGAATTGGAAGACCTACTCTGAAAGGCAGTGCTCCCTGGTGGCTTCTGGCAGGATTGAAAAGCCATAACTTTGGAGAGAAACACAATAAACCAGAAATTTCCTCCCAGGTGAACGGGAAACTGCCTCTCTCCTTCTGAAGAGAGCATTTTCCAGAACTTTGCTCATCAAGTAGCTGGTTTGCAAGTCATTTCTTCTCTTTACAAGTGAGCCACATTCCAGTGGGCTGCCTGCTCCCCTCTCTGATAGATGGGCCGCGGCCTAAGCAATCCACATACATGGCAGAACACAACAGTGATTTCTCTTTGGCTGGGAGCTATGTTTCTGTATTTACATGTGAATAGAGTAGCATGGGATGCTTTGGAAATCTGCAGTATTTTCTGCCAATAAGGAAACGTTACTGTACAGCACAGTGGACTTAGAGGACTGGCTGAAATCAAACACATGTGTAGGAAGTGTGTAGACATAGGGCTACAGAGAGTCACTAATTCACCCCACCCGTATTTACAGAATGCCTACTATGTGCTCAGGATTGTTCTGGGCACTGGAGAAAGAGTCCTGATAAAACAAAGCAAAACAAAATCCTCTACCTTTATGGAGGGAAGTAGACAATTAATATGTTAGATAAGTAAATATCACTGTGTGTCAGCCATCGATGAGTGTGGAGGAGATGAATAAACTGGAAAGAGGGGATTGGGAATGTTGCGGGGGTTGCCTGGGGAAAGACTCACTGAAGAGGTGACATTCGATACAGGCGTGAAGGACGCGAGGGAGCTGGATGTGCAGAAATCTGGGAATGCATTTTAAAGAGAATACAGCAGGTAGAAGGGCTGGGAGGTGGAGCATATTAATGAATTTAGGAGCAGCAAAGAGGAGAGTAAAAAGATCAGAAAGGTACTGGCCAGAAAGGAACTTGGGCTTTAGAGGTCATTATAAAGACTCTGGGCTTTAATATTAATAAGATGTGCTGCCAGTGGAAGGTTCAGAGCAGCCACGGTGTTCTGCTGTGTTAAGAACAGATTGCAAAGGGAGACAGGGAGAAGCAGAGAGGCCAGGGAGGAGCCTGCTCATGTAGGGGTGAAGCGGACTATGGACACCGGAAAGGAGATGGAATCCGAATCCGAATTCATTCTGTAGATAGCTCGAGTATGATTAATTGATGGGTTTGTGTGAGGTGTGAGAGAAAGAGCAGAGTCAAGGAGGACTCCCAGGTTGATGGCCTGGGCTGCTGCAGCAGGACGCCTGTGTCACCCTACGGGGGCAGAAAAGAGAGCAGGAGGAGCAGATCTAGGTGGGTGAGGGTGCAGGTGGGAGGAGATCAGGGGCTTAGCTGTGGAGATGAAGCGCCTCTGACACACCCAAGCAGAGAAAGCAAATAAATTATTGGAGAACAGAATCTAGAATTCAGAAAGGAATATTCTGAGTAGGAAATATAAATGTGGGAGTCATTAGCATATAGATGGTATTTAAAGCTCCAAGACCGGATGAGATCATCCAAGATGTGAATGAGTGTAGATAAGAAAAGAAAAGAGGTCTACGGATTGGAATTGGGGGCACTGTAATATTTAGAGGTTGGGGACACAAGAAAGAGACTCAGAAGGAGCGCAGGAAGCGTGGAATCTGGACCCTGAGGGAGGAGTGAAGCCCAAGGCAGAAAGAGCGTCCAGCTGTGTCAAACGTAGGTCAGGAAGAGAAATGAGGAGGTCATGAGTGACCTTGACTGAACTCCTTGCTGGAGCAGCGGGAGTTAAGGCCTGGCTTACATGAGTTCAAGGAAGAACGGGAGGAGAGACAGTAGGAAATGGGAGCATAAAGAACAGTTTTAGGAGTATGTTGTAAAAAAGAAGAACGGAAACGGGTGGTAACTACAGACTGAAGTGACATCAAGCTTCTTCCTTTATGATTGGAGCAGTAGAGATGAATATAGTATCATCGGTTCCCAAGTTGCATTAAATTTGAGAGGGAGCTAGACACAGACGGAAGTCATGATGGGAGATGGTCACAGGATAAACATCTAGCAATGCACTTGAGAAAAAAAATCTAGCCTCGTAGGAGGGGAAAAAAAAATACTTCAGAAAGATAAATTCTAATCCATTTCTTGAAAAAGTGTGTTTCTTTTATCTAGGGCAAGAAAGAAGGGAATGATATTTCAGATAGAAGGAAGAACAGGAATCAAATTGCAGAAACCGGAAACACTTGTTGTGGGTGCAAATCACAAAAAGCTCCACTTTTCCCCTCTGGAACTGCACTGTCTGGGTGTGCCTCTCAGACTCTGAAATGGATGTGACCTGGGGCAAATCACCAAACCAATCTGTGAATCAGTTTCCTCCGACGGAGAGTGGGGATGAACAGTGTCTGCCTCATAGCCTTGTCATGAGAGTTTGAAATAAATCAGTGCATGTGAAAAGCAGCTGGAACAGCGGCTGGCACACAGTAGGTGCACAACAAATGCTCACTCTCCTAATTACTGGGTGCAAACAATGAGGCAAGGACTGATGAAATGGGAAACCGAACACTCAGTTAGACAGATATAGACGGACTTGTATGTCATACTAAGGACTAGACTTCGTTCTGGGACCCGAGAGTTGCTTGGAGGGCTTTAGGCCAAGGACCCTCACGATTAGACTGGTATTTTAAGGGTCTCACTGTGGCCGCTTCATAGGGGGAAATGTTGGGACCTTCACAAGACCAGGCTGCATATTCTGGGTTAACATTTAGTGTGGGAGTCACTTCCTTCTTTGAGGCGCTTTATTCATCTGGGGTGTAGGGGTTATACAACACATCCAAAGGGGTGCCCCAGGGAGTAAATTAAACAACGGAAGGAAAGCTCTTAGAGCAGTGCATGGTCTATTATAGAGGTACAACAAAAACTTGATTTTGATATCAGACATGTTACATGGGAGGAGGAAAGGCCTCCTGTCCCACCAGAGCAGCTCTCACCTCTGGGAGCATGCAAAGGACCCACGCATCAGCTCTTGGACCTACACAGGGTCATTCTTGCTCTTTCTTACCCCACTCTTGTCACAGTTTACCCCGGCTCAGCTGTCTCAGCCCTGACCTTCTCCTAAAGTCCTGGCGGTCTCCAAAGCCAGAATCTTGACCCCCGAGGCTGGGGAGTGGGTAAGGAGCGCTCCTGATGTCACCAGCCTTTCCTTTAGCTGCTGGCTGTTTTAAGAGAGCTGTTGTTTTCCCTCTGACCCTTGCCACATCGCAAACCCTTTGCTTTGCCTTGTACTTTTGCAACACTTCGGTCTTATCTCCTCTCACAGTCTGCGCACTTCCTGAAGGCACAAACTGCACAGTAAATATGTCTCAGTACCTGCCTCTCCCGAGCACCGCCCTGGCTCACGGCAGAGACTTGCTGTGGAATGAACCGAAGAGTTGACTGATGCTCACGCAGTGCTGAAAGCCTGCCAAGCTGTGAATAAGTGTGAGTTGGTTCGATTATGAAAGATGGGAAATCATGTCTTCTTTTTAAGAGTGTAAAAAAAAGCCTCCCAGCCGCCTCAGGCTTGCTCAGGCAGAGCAGGCAAGGCTGTGACCCGTGGGCCCAGAATCACACCTTGATAATCTCAGGATCGACTCATTAGGGTTAGGGTCCCCAGGCAGGTCCGTGCAGGAGTCAGAGAGCCGAGGTGGTCAGCAGTGGTTTGAGGCCCTCCTCCTAGCCCTGGGCTTTTGCCTCCAGGAGTCATCTGGAGACAGAAAACATGCCGCTTTACACGATCCTCTCCCTCCTGTTCCCCTGGCACGCGTTTTGTGCTGACGTGACAGCCACACGAACAGATGTCTCTCTGGCCTCTGGGAAGGCAGAGGAGTGCAGGCCCCATCCTGAAGCTCCTCCTCTTCAGGCCACTGCAACCCAGGCCATGAGTCAGGCAGGACCAGTCAAGGGTGCGGAGGGTGGGCAGGAGGAAGCGGGGAAGGAGGTGGGAGAGGAGAATCAGAGGCCTTGGTGTGGAAAGGGAATTCCAGGGATTCTCTGGCCCAGCTCTTAGGTCTTCCTAACGCATGGGTGCTCTGGTTTTGCAGGGAAATTGGCCACTGAAGCCGGAGCGGGCGTCGTGTCTGTGTCTGTGTGCAGAGAGGACAGAGGAGGGCGACGGCTCAGGCCTGCTGCATTGCCTGCTCCCAACCCCTGCTTCTGGCTGAAGGTGGTGGTGACTGGGGGATGCAGAGAGGATGCTGTTGCCTGGGAACAAGTAACCCGGCGAAGGTGAGTGTGCATATGTGTTTGTGCATGTGTTTTGGGGTGTGGCCCCCTCCTCAGTATCCGGCTTCCAGTGTCCACTTCTACTATGGTGCTACTAATGATACTAACACTTGCAATATCACTAGCTAACAGTGCTGCTCAGCGTTTACTGTGTACCAGGCACAGTGCCGAGGTGATGAAATAAACTCTCTAAAAAACGACCAGTACTATGGTTACTTGCATTTTGCAGCCAAAGGAAATAAAAGGAAAGAAATTTAGGAACCTGACCACAGGTGCAGAGGTAGGTGTCTTACCGGGAGCCACAAAGACGAATGCCAGGAATGTCCAACCTGTGGCCCAGCTTTTCTTTGCCCTCTTTTGTTTATTTTTAAATTACTTATTAACTTTTAGTAAATGCTTTCTACACATAATAATCACAGTCACCAAGGTGAATTATCATTATACATATCGTGTCTGGAACACTTTTACTATTTTTGTCCTCTTTTTTTTTTTGGGACAGCATCTTGCTACATAGGTCAGGCTGGCCTAAAACCCATGGCAGTCTTCCTGTCTCAACCTCCAGAGCCCTGGGACCACAGGTGTGGACCACCACACCTGGCTCGTCTTTCTGCTCCTTTTTTAAAATTCTTTTTTACAAGTATGTCATTTATTTATTTATATCCTCATTGAGTTTATTGGTACCTTTTAGGTCTACAGTGCAGTTACATTCATCATTGGGATCTTGTACCTTTACACGACAGGTCTCGGTTCTCATTTTTTCCCCTTGTCCCTGCCCTCCCTTCACCCCTCCTCCCCTCCCCCTTGTCTTTCTGCTCTTTTAAAAAATTATAAAAATAATTCTTGTACTTAGATATGTTAACTATTAACTGCAGTATTCACTTTTATTATTTATAAGCAGCCCAATATAATTCTACATCACTAAGAAAATAAACTGAGAGAAAAGGAAACAGCTGAGGGTTTTAGGAAGGTGGGACCCATCTGGTAGCAGGCATTACAGTGATACCTCGGTTGTTGAACTCAATTTGTTCCAAATTCATGTTTGAACACAGACAAGTTTGCAAACTGAACATATTTTTCCCATAAGAAATAACGGAAAACCAAATGATAGGCTCTGAGGCCTCAAGATGACACAAATTTATTTTTCCAAGACTTTGACAAATTTCGCAATGATTTCTTTCTTTAACTCTAACCTGGTTCTCACAGTTTTCTTCTTAGCTTCACTACTCGTGTCACTTTCTTTGGAGTCATGGTTACAATATTTGATGCAAATGAAGCACAAAAAAAAAAAATAGAAAGCTTAATGATGGATGCTTCAGGGCTCTGACACCAGCACTGTATGTGGTCTGGGAGAGAGCGGTCATCCCTTCGTGTTGGCACGGTGACGTGGGACTCACTGTGGGCCCCATACAGGTTTTTTTCAAGTCAGATTTTCGGTTCCACTATGGAGTGAAGCTACAAACCCCAAGCAGATTGTTTTGAATTTTGCTGTTCAAGTAGTGACAAGTATGAGCTTGGAGCCACCCCATGACTGTTCTGGAGCCTGGGAGTCTGGGGTCCTCTTCCCAGCTGGCCGGTGGCGTCTCTGCTGTCCCTACACATGGCAGAGGAACCGCTTCTCTCTCGAGTGCCTTCTTGAGCCACCCCTCCCAATGGCCTAATGCTTCTTCGCCTAATGCTTTATGACCTGCCAAGGCCGCACCTTCAAACACCATCATGTTGGGAAGAAGAAGGCACCATAAGTGCTCAGTCCATAGCAACGGGTAAATTCACACAGCCAGAATTTGCATGTGTGGTAATCATTAGGGTTGCTGACAAATACTTCTCTCTCTCTCCTTACTCCACACCCTCATGATAGAATTTTCTGAGTCAATTGAACTCCACCGCCACTGTGGGACTCTCTGGGGCCCATAACGTAGGAGTGGAAGAATCACTTCTGGACTCCTGGCCAGAAGCGCTAGGAGCCAAAGTGTGTCTCCCTAATATCTGCAGCTCAGTGAGGTGTTTCTCCAGTGGTGGCTCAGCTAGCACTCTAAGGTGACACTGATCACATTGCACATCTGTTCTTGTCCCCTTCATGGGACTGAACCCACCAAGGCCCCACACTTACACTTTGGCCTCGCAGCATTTAGCAGAGAGCCTGGGGGACAAGGGAGAATCCCAGGTGCACTGGAGGGGTGAATAGAAGGATGGACAAGGCAGGGTTTCCCTGAAGGATAAGCTCCAGGAGGCCAAGGTCAGCTGTGTCTGGCCCTGCATTCTTGGGAGGTGACGAGCAGAGTAACCTGCTTCCAGTAACCTTGTCCCTGGGGGGCTCTGCCAGGTGGCCCGGCACCTGGGGAGTCTGCCCAGCTGGCTAGCAGTATTTGTCTCCCGGCCGGTGCAGACCTCAGCAGTAAATCAGTGAGTCTGAGAAATTTACCCCAGAGAGTGATCCGGCAGTGGCATGAATGAGTAATTTACAAAGCCCATTAAGGCGGCACAGAATTACTTATTTATGGGAACTTTTTGACAGATCTGCGGCTTAATCATTTATCCTTGTGAACATTTAGCCAGGGTCATTGGTAAATAATTCACTTATTACACACTCCGGAGTGGTTTATGGTGTTGTGACTTATGATCTCACATGAGTCCGCAGCCAGGGAATTGGAATGTGAAGGCCGTCAGAGGGAGGGGAAGCCGAGGCCCTTGGCATGCAGGAGGGAGGTGTCCCAGAGCCAGAGAGAAGGGCCTTCTGCTTTGCATCCAGCTGAAGTTAAAGAATGGGAGGACTCGGTCCCTGGCCCTGGCTTTGGTAGGGAGTGAGGGGAAGAGGTCGGAGGTTAGAGACTGGTCTGCAAATGCTAGGCCTTAAATCCAGGCAGAGTGAAACGAATCCCATCTTCCACAGCCGTTCAGGGCCTAGGGGAGAAATCCAAACGCCCAGGCCTAACATTTAGGATTTCCTAGCTTGGCTCCAGAGATGGAGAGGACCCACACAAGGCCTTCTCCCTTTGTGTCAGTGCCAACTGCTGCTTGGATGGTAGCAAGACTTAAGCAAGACGATTTCCCCTGTTTTCACATCTCCCATGGGAAGAGAGAAGAGAGAATTTACCAGAGGTGTCCTCCGTTTTTTCCATTCCCATCACTCACTGCTTTTCCCAGCAGCAGTCATGTGTCTGGGCCTGTGGCGTGTGTTACCTCTCCATGCATCTGCACCCTGCGCTCCTCCTGCCTGCACTGCCCTTCTCTCACTGCTACTGAATATCCAGTTTTCAGCTCACAGCCCACCTACTGCAGGAAGCCTTTCCGCAGGCCTAGCTACATCTGCCCCTTCTGTGAAGTTCCGGAAAACTCACAAAGTTCCAGGAGTGCATCAAGCACGTTACACATGCCACTGATGTTCATCTTCCCCGCTGAACTCTGTGCCCTCTTGGGGCCAGGACCCAGACCCCACTAAGTGTTCCCCCTGCTATCGTCAGCTCAGAGGCTGGCCCACAGTGAGCTAAGGAAACTGCCGCTGTTGTTGTTAATAAAGAGATGTCAGGTAGATGCTGTCTCCTACATCCTTCCTAGGCCCCAAAGACAGTAGGAGAAAGTAGTCAAATCTTCAAGCTTCTCTGAGATCCTGATGCTCTTAAGTAGACAGGGGAGTGCGTGTTGGGATCCAGGAGAAGAGGGCTTGGACAAGTTCATAAAAGAGTGGTAAAGGAGGCAGGCGGGCGGGCAGTCCAGGTATAAGGCCATGCAAGTGCTGTACGCGAAGATTTTCCCCAAGCCACACCTATCCTGCTCACAACCTTTCAGGAAGACCTCATAGGTTCCACATGCGTTTCCCAGAGTCCTGTCCTGGAGATTAGCGGCTTAGAGATGAAGAAGAGCTATGCAAAGCCTTCTCCCTTTATATTAATACCAGTTGCTGCCTGTGCGGTAGAAAGACTGAAGCAAGGCGGCTTTCCCTGTTTTCAGATCTTCAGTGGGAAGAGAGAGAAAATTTACTATATGTCACCTTTTCCCTAACACCTCCTGCCTACTAGGAAGTTCCCCCTAAAGTCTACTCTCAAGAAATTCTGCTGCAACATACAGGAAGCCATAGGATATTAAGCAGGTTGTCGTCCAGAGAAGGAAAGACCCGGCTTTCCTGAGATAATTTGGGAGATGAGAAAGGATAGAAGCCCGGTCATCCTAAACACAGGACTTTCTTTAATCCTTTAAATCCCTCTGGGCCTTAGGGCATTTTAAACAGATCTCTAGTCTTTGCTTAGGGTGGCCAAAGTCCTGGGGCTTAGCATTATATTTATATATATAATTTTATAATAATGATATTTAATATCATCATTATTATTATCATCATCATTTTCTTTGCAGTGAGGGGAGTTCAACCTGAAGCCTTGTTCACACTAGGCAAGTACTCTACCACTGAACTCCATCCCTAGTCTTATCCATACATGTATATATGGATATGTGATATATATGTCCAAACTGGCCTCAAACTCACCATGATCCTCCTGCCTCAGCCTCCTGAATGCTGGGATTACAGGCGTGCACCACCCTGCCTGGCTATTATTCATATATTTTTATGTTTCCCATGATAACCATACCAAGGAGGTATTCTTGTGAGCTTCTACTACTAACCAAATCGTGTCCTTCCCAGGTCCATGTATGGATCATGACTCCCTAGTGTGACTGGGCACCCCTATGTATCCCTGAGGAATTTGTCCCAAGATCTACAGAGGTAGAAACCGAGACTCACAGACACTCACGCCCCTTGTATAAAATGGCATAGCATTTGCATATAACCTGTGCACAACCTCCCTGTTTAAATCATCTCTAGATTATTTATAATACCTAATGCAATATAAATGCTATATAAACAGTTGTTCTACTGTTTTGTTCAGGGAACAGTGACAAGGAAAACAGTTCGTGCACGTGCAAAACAGATGCAATTATTCCAGGCTGACCACATAGCACACATCAGCAACGAGATAACATTTTCCACCCGTGGTGGGTTGAATAAGGCTGAGTGT